TGGCAACACCTTGTCTTCCACATGTTCTTGGCATTTATCAACTCTCATTGTTCGAACCTGATGTTCTGTAGCTTCTGGCAATGTTACAACCCTAATTGTTTGAAACTAGCATTTTACATTTTGAATTATGGTGCTGGAGGAGATTCTTGAGAGTCCCATGGACTGCAAGAAGATCAAACCTCTCCATTCTTAGGGAAATCAGCCCTGAGTGCTCACTGGAAGGACAGATTCTGAAGCTGAGGCTCCCAGATTTTGGCCACCTCATGAGAAGAGAAGACTCCCTGGAAAAGACCCTGATGCTGGGAAAGATGGAGGGCACAAGGAGAAGGGGACGACGGAGGACGAGATGGTGGGACAGTGTTCTCGAAGCTACCAGCATGAGTCTGACCAAACTGCGGGAGGCAGTGGAAGACAGGAGTGCCTGGCGTGCTCTGGTCCAGGGGGGCACGAAGAGGCGGACACGACTAAACGACTAAACAACAACAACAACAACAACAATTCACTGATCAATGGATCTACGTACTGGCTCACTGGGAAAACTTCAGAAATTCATATAAAATCACTCCAGTGTTGGATTTACGCCATTCCAAGGTTGTTCTGTTCGGGAAGGAAATGGCTACCAAAGGGGTGGAGGGAGACTGAGTAATAATTCAGGGGTCAGCAACCTTTTTCAGCTGTGGGCAGGTCCACTGTCCCTCAGACCATGTGGTGGGCTGGACTATATTTTGAAAAAATAATAATAATGAATGAATTCCTACGCCCCACAAATAACCCGGAGATGCATTTTAAATAAAAGCACACATTTTACTCATGTAAAAATATGCTGGTTCCTGGACCGTCTGCAGGCCAGATTGAGAAGGCGATTGGGCCGGATCCGGACCCTGGGCCTTAGTTTTCCTGCACCTGGTGATAATCTCTGGCATCCTGATACCTGAGTGCCAGACAGGTAGCCATTCCGGAAACAATACCCAGATGAAGACAAAAGGGTGTGATGAACTTGGCTGGGAAAGAGGGACATGTAAATATCTCTTTTGCATACTTGATGGGTGGGAGGTGGAGGTCAAGGGAAGGGGGGGCAAGTCCTGGTGCTCAGGTTGCTGCACCCAGACCCTCCCAACGTGTGATGTCCTTATGATGTAAGTGTGATGTAGTTTTAGGGGTGTTACTAGTAACTTTTGGAAACTGTTAAATGTTTGGGTCCTTGAATGAATGAATGAATTTTATTATTACGGTCACAGACCAGTTCCGGCTCACTTAAAATATCAGGAAAATCATAAAACACAACTGGAATACATTGAACTGCAATTGAGTATAACAGAGACAATACTGTTAAAAATATATATTAAAACTTGATCACTAAAATAAAGCCTAAAATTGTCATTTAAAACCTTAATCATTTTGGTAGTACAGCTTGTTCCCTAAGTTTTATGGCAGTCACACAGAATTTGGCCACCCTGAGCGTGATCTCTAGGTCCTTGTCCTCTACCAGGAGTTTTAGACATTGAAGTTTGGCCCCTTTTGGAGATTTTTGCATAGCAGGGGTAACAAATAACGGAGCGTATATCCCCGTAGAAATGGCAGCGTAACAAGACATGAGAGACAGTTTCTACCTTCATCGAGCTGCAGGGGCAGACTCGTTCCGCGTATTATGGTTTACCCTCGAATCTGCCCTGCAATCAGCCAGATGGCAGCACGTTGAATCTAGCGAGGGTAAATGACCATGTGTATTTGGGCATTTGTAATTTTGACAAATAATTTGCTGGTGTAAATCCTCTCCCATTATATTTTATTGCTGGGTGTTTATTCATCTCGCTCATGTGGCATTGCAGTTCCACATCCCAAATTCGTTGACGGATTATTGCTCTTGCTTTCTCATAACCTACAGCTATCAGGGTGTTATGTACTGAGTTGAATAGGATCCAAAAGGCAGCAATCTGATTGGTCCTAGAACAATAGAGTCCAGAATGCAGCAGTCTGATTGGTCCCCGGGAGCCACCCAATCCAGCTCCAGGTGGAAGTGAATCCGCAATCTAATTGGCCTACAGGTGAATCCCGGAATTAGCCAATCACGTGGGGCCCATTGTGTAAATAATGTATATAAAGCAGACATTTCGGGGGAACTTCCATTCCTCCTCACCACTATGAGCTGAATAAAGAGCATGAAATCCACTCTCGACTCCGAGTATATTTCACAGGGCCTGTGGGGAAAACCCCACGCCTCTTAGCTTTTCATGCAGTGTAGCTTTCCATTTGGGTTGGTAGGAATCCAGTAGGGTTAAGGGTGCCAACCCAACAGGGGAAAAGTTAAGTTTTAACCAGTAATGGAACTTCAGAATCCATATCCGAGCGCTAACAGGGACAGCTATGTTAGACACACAAGAAGGGATCCCTAGCAGACAACAATAGAACTTAGTTTGGAATGATTCTAAGGGAGCAAGGTTTGAGAAGCTGCAGACTGGAGAGCCATATGCCAGTTGTGTTAATATTTTTGCAGCAAAGACCTGGAAGGCTGCTGGGAGCCTGTAGATGTTGGTTAGTTGTGTAAAAGGGTTGGAAGTATGACTCCCAAGCCCCAACAGAGATATTCCACTTCGGAGGGGGAAGTTTGGGTTCTTCTTTGTTCGGGGCTTCCATCTTGTTTCACCTGGTGGCAGGTGGAGGTCCTGTGGCGACACTTCTTTAATAAAGACCAAGCCTGCTGGCTGCTGTTTTGCCCTGATACTCCTGGCTGGTGTCTTTGCTTTTGTCCAAGGGACAAAGGTTTTTAACTGCCTAAAGTTTCTCCGTTAACATCCCTCTTCAATTGGCAAGTTTGGGCTGAGTTCTCCAGCTGGGGGGTGTGCTGATTCTTTTTCATAGAATAGATTCACAGAAGGGACCCCAAGGGTCATCCAGCCCAACCCCCTGCAATGCAGGAATCTTTGGCCTCACGTGGGGCTCGAACCCACGACCCGGGGAAAGAGAGGCTGAGCTGGCTGCCCTGGGCTTGCCAGGCTGCCCTCCATGAGGCAATGCAGGGGGGGAAGGAGGGAGGGGGCTGGGGGGGGCAGGTCGGCAAACCTTTCCCTCTCGGATCCCAGAGGGAGCTTTCAAGAATGTTCCCCATCCGGGAGTTTCTCTGCAGCTGCTGCTACTGGAAAACCAGCCCACAGCCTTGGGAGCCCCCAGGCCGCCCATCCCTTCCCAAAGGAGGAACACCAGTCTTGTCTCCATTGCAGCATGCTTTATTTACATGCAACTTACCACTTTCACAGCGTGTAGGTAAAACGGTGGAACTCCCTCCCGCAGGAGCCTGGCACGGCCAGCAACCCAGATGGGTTTCGAGAGAGGATGAGGCCCATGCGAGGAGGAGGGGGGGGGCTCTGGGGGGGCTCCTGGCCTGGAGGGCTGTGCTCTGTCTCCCCAGTTGGAGCCAGGCCCGCTTCTATTCTCGCTTGCTGGAACCACAGGCAGGGAAAGCTCTGGTGCTCGGATCCTGCTTGCCAGAAGAGGCGTCTCTTTGGGTGCCCCTGTGAGAACAGGAAGCCGGACCAGGAACGTTCAGAACGATGCAAAGGCAAGTGAGGAATCCTAGTGAATACAAATAATCTGGGACTGGCAGAAAAAGCAGCAACCTCGCAGACAGGGAATGAATGAGAAACAATCAGTGCAGGAAAAGTTTTTGACAATATATATTGGTCATTTATGAATAAGGTATTCGAAAACAATGGAGTCTGGAGAGACTTTTATAAAGGGAATTGAGATAATCTATATGGAACCCTATATGGGACGCGGGTGGCGCTGTGGGTTAAACCACAGAGCCTAGGACTTGCCGATCAGAAGGTCCGCGGTTTGAATTGCTCGGTCCCTGCTCCTGCCAACCTAGCAGTTCGAATGCACGTCAAAGTGCAAGTAGATAAATAGGTACCACTCCGGCAGTAAGGTAAACGGCGTTTCCGTGTGCTGCTCTGGTTCGCCAGAAGCAGCTTAGTCATGCTGGCCACATGACCCGGAAGCTGTAGACCGGCTCCCTCGGCCAGTAAAGCGAGATGAGCGTCGCAACCCCAGAGTCGGTCATGACTGGACCTAATGGTCAGGGGTCCCTTTACCTTTATATGGAACACATGGCAAGCATGATTGTGAAGAATACTTTTTAAGAAAAATGTAAGATACAGAAGGGACACACCCTCTTTCACCGCTATTCTTTATACTAGCCCTAGAAGTCTCTCACGGTGCTTTTGCCTTTTCCTACTACCTTGATTTTGTGCTTACAGCATGACAGCATTTCATGTAAAATTTACATGGCCTAATTTCTAGACCAGGCCTTCTCAAACTCGACCCTCCACGCCAAGGGACTCCCGCTGCTGCTGCTCCTGCTGGGTAGGTCGAGGCAGGACACCTGGGTCCCTCACAGAGCACGGGAGGAGGAGAGCTCTGGGCCGGACACCTGGGTCCCCTCCGAGGGGGGGTCGAGGAAGCATGAAGCGGAGGTGGAGAGATCGTCCCCTTGGTAGCATTTCCTGCCCTTGCAACGCTGGGGGAAGGCAGAAACTCAGCAGGTGCAGCTTCTTCCCTGGCAAGGAGAGGAAGGGGCAGGGGGGGGGAAACATCTCAAGGATTATGGTGGGCTCACTCACCCCTCCCCTTAGGCCTCACTTCCCAGGGTCCTAAATGCCATTGGAACTGGGTAGATTGAAACAACGGTGTGATTTCTTATGAATTTCTAAAGTTTAACAATATGTAGCAGAATATGTGGCAGAATAGGAATGGGGAACCCCCGTCTCCCTTGCGGTTAGTCTGGGTCAGATGTGGGCTCCTTGGGGCAGAGTCCTTGGCACAGATGGAGGAGGGGGGAGGGAGGAGACCTGCCTGAGCCCAGGCACATAAGCAGGAAAACCGCAGGGAGAGGGAGGGGGTGTCAAGGGTTAAAAGGAGCAGAGCTGCATTCCTAGAGAGGACAGGAAGGGGAGGGGGAGGGGGCAAGGTCCTCCATGGCTAAATTCCCCCCTCCCCCTCCCTTCCTGCTTTCTTTTCTCTCCTTTGCAAAAGCTTCCTTGCTGCCCCTCCTGGAGTCGGGTGAGTCTCCTCTCTCTTCCCCCCGAGAGTGCAATGGGGAGAAGGGGGTCCCAGGAGGTATTCTCCTCCTTAGGCCTCCGAGACAGAGAGGGCCTTTCCCTCCTGGCCCCCTTCGCCTGTCCTGGCGCAGACCCCGGCGGATCCCCCAAGGCCGCTTGCCTGGCGTCTCCCAACAGAGAGGCCTCCTCCGTGGGGCCAACATGGCGAGGAGAGAGGCTGCCCTGTGGAGGCCAAGCCATTGTTACGAGGCTGCTCTGCCACCCAGCTCGTCGGACTGAGTCCGCGGGTCCCTGCGGAGGAAAATGAGCTCAGCCGGAGACAGGAGCAAGTTGCAGGAGATCCGAGTTTATTGCGCAACAGGTTCAAGGCGAGATTGAACAGCGAGAAAGGGGTGACATGAACTTTTAAAACTTCCCTCCATGTCCCAGAATACAGTGCAAAGTACATCACGGGTGCATCATGAATACATTAAGAAGAGGTTGAGTTACACAGATTACATCACGAATACATTAGGAAGAGGTTGGGTTACACCGGATTAACATATGGAGGAGGGAGGGGGGAATATGCAGAGCTGGAGATATGCGCAGATAAGCGTTTCCTGAGTACTGGTGATGAGAGGACAATGGTCCAAGTATGCATAGTCTGCCACCTGGCATTGCCCAGAGGAAAGGCTTGGCAGAGTGATTTGACAGGATTAGGGTCTTCCTGAGAATACGTGACACCTCGCTTGAGGGATTATGGAGGACAGGGGAGGTGTCATGGAGTCCTAGAGAAATTGAGCCGAGAGGAGGCTGCTTTCTTCTCTCGCCTTTGCAAAAGCCCCTCCTGGAATCGGGCAAGTCTCCTCTCTCTTCCACCTGAGGTGCAATGGGGAAAAGGGGGTCCCAGGGGGGCAGGGGGGTCCCTGTTCAGATCATGCCTGGGGGGGGGGAGACCCCCAAGTCGGGGAGCAGAGGGTCCTCCCTTGTCCTCTCTGCCAAGCCAGGGAGGGGGCCACTTCGCAGGAGGTCCGAAGCTCTGTTCTTCCTTTTTAGGGAGGGGGTTTTGCGTGAAGGAAAAGTGGGCAGGCAAATAAACCCCCAACAGACGGAGGGAAAAGTCACCTTTGTGAACAGAGGATGTAAACAGACGGGAACATTCCCACGTGGGAGGAGCACAGGGAGAAGAAAAGCCCGTCTGCATCTGCAGCAGCAAAATGGGACCACTTCCTGTGTCCCAGATGCAACAACACATGTCTCTCCCCTGTCGCTCTCCACACCCACAGCTGGCGCTGTTACCTTCCAACAACTGGATCTCACTCCCAAAGACACACTCTTCCATGGTCTCCCAAGACAGATGGATGCCAACCAACCAACCATTCCCTCCCCTCACAATGCACAATTCCCTCCCCTCCCCCTCCTGGTGCCCCTGGAGGTTGGCTTGAGGGCATTGGGAGGGTCCAACCCACCAGATGAAGAGAGAGGAGGTCCTTCTATCTGGAAAATGGGAATGCTTGCAAAGATTTACTTGAAGATGAGTGCCATATAGATAATTAAACATTATTTTGTGGAATTCCCCCATTTACACAAATATTAATACCCATCATTTAAATACACAACAAAATGGTTTCAGAAAAGAACAGAGCAATGTTTAGAAAAATATCATCTTTGTGCACGTAGCTGTTCCTTTCACAGAGGAGGACTGGGCTTTGCTGGATCCTGACCAGAGAGCTCTGCAGAAGGAAGTCAAGGATCTTGGGATCGTGGCCTCTCTGGTAAGGCTCCCTGCTGGATCATAAGATCAGTTTTGAAATTCCATACAGATCTCTGTAGGACAAACCTCCTCTATTTTGAGGGAGCCCAATAGCACCACCTACAGCATCTGAGATGTTAACACACCCACAACTCTCCATAGGAGATGTATCTCCTGTTCTGTCTGGGAATATTCTTCCACCAGTCCTGCCTTTTCAAACCATGAGGAGGCTGGTCTGAGCTGCCCAGGCCTTCTTCAGTGTAGGCTTCAGAGATATTAAGGACATGGAGGTACATCCTGTCTAATTTTCTGTTTCCCTTTCTGCATCTCTCTGTTTTGGGTTGAGCAAAGAAATGACTGAGCTTGGAGATGGAGTGGATTCCATGACTGAGCCAAATTAAATCCATCCCTGGAAAGAGCCAGGCTTTTTGAATCTCCAGGTCCCATAAATACGTTAGCTAATACCAGCCAAAAAAGGCAGTAACTCCCTTCCCTTCTTCCTCTTTCACAAACATTCATTTGCATTCTTCAGTCATTTCAGCCTCAATTTCTTCCTCAGGGCATTATTATTATTATTGTTATTGTTATTAATAATAATAATAAAATTTATATCCCGCCCTCCCCAGCCGAAGCCGGGCTCAGGGCGGCTAACAACACTAAAATAGTGCAACATTCTAAAAACATTATAAAAATTAATTAAAATCAAAATTGATGGCAACCATAAACTAAAGTTCTGTAAAGATTGCCAAAGGAGGGAGTCAGGCTGCGCCCTGACCAAAGGCCTGGTGGAACAGCTCTGTCTTGCAGGCCTTGCGGAAAGATGTCAAGTCCTGCAGGGCCCTTGTCTCTTGTGACAGAGCGTTCCACCAGGTTGGAGCCGCAGCCGAAAAAGCCCTGGCTCTAGTTGAGGCCAGCCTAACCTCTCTGTGGCCCTGGTCCTTCAAGATGTTTTTATTTGAAAACCGTAAGTTCCTCTGTGGGGCATACCAGGAGAGGCGGTCCCATAGGTACAAGGGTCCTAAGCCATATAGGGCTTTGAAGGTTAAAACCAGCACCTTAAACCTGATCCTGTGTTGGGATACTGCCAGGGAGACAAAGTCCATCATGGCCCCACGTCGCCTCCGGACGTCCATCGATCTCCCGTAGACACGCAGTATCAGCAATTAGCGACACGAGCTCCAGAAAATAGCTTGCCACATTCCAGGGCTGATGCACGCTCTTATCAGCAGATAATGCACAGCAAAAGATGCACGCAGGAGAGCATATTTACAAGTTTATTCAGCGTTGGTCAGAACAAAGAAAAACATGACTGCCTGCTTCAGCGTTCAGGCACCAAGAGAGAAACAAAAGCAACAGATAACCATGTTCAAATATATAAAAGGATGTCACATAGAGGAGGGAGAAAGGTTGTTTTCTGCTGCTCCAGAGAAGCGGACACGGAGCAATGGATCCAAACTACAAGAAAGAAGATTCCACCTAAACATTAGGAAGAACTTCCTGACAGTAAGAGCTGTTTGACAGTGGAATTTGCTGCCAAGGAGTGTGGTGGAGTCTCCTTCTTTGGAGGTCTTTAAGCAGAGGCTTGACAACCATATGTCAGGAGTGCTCTGATGGTGTTTCCTGCTTGGCAGGGGGTTGGACTCGATGGCCCTTGTGGTCTCTTCCAACTCTATGATTCTATGATTCTATAGCAAACATAAACATCCTGTGAACAGGAAATACGCAGACTCTGTGACTCTCAAAGCCTGCTCCCTTTTAAGGTGGAACGGAAATATCCTAACATCCTCCCCCTTTCCGTGTAACCTGTAGTACCTGTGGTTCAACCGAATTGCAGCCTTTGTACGTAAACCTTAAGTTGTTCTCTGTTAACAACCTTAGACAACAGATCAGCAGGAATTTCATTTCCTGCCATGTAGGACACCTGAATGAGTCCTTTCTGAATACACTCTCTTGCACGATGTAGCTTAATCTGCAAGTACTTGGTTCTTTGCTTGCAACTCTCCGAGTTCAGCAAAGCCAAACAGGATCTATTGTCTTGATACACTTGTATAGGACATTTCACAGAAACACTGATGTCCTTAAATAGTTGCATCAACCATTCACAATCCATGAGTGAAAATGACAGTGCATTGAGTTCTGCTTCACAGGAACTTAGGCATACTGTCGTCTGCTTTTTGCATAGCCAGTCAAACAGACAGTGGTTGTACATGTAGCATACTCCAGAAGTGCTTGTACCATCCGTGGTGTCACTTCCAAAACTTGCATCTGCAAAGATTTCAAGACCTCCAGTCTTCTGACTGGTGAACCTCAGCCTGTACTGCAAAGTCCCTTTCAAATAGCGGGCTATGCGCTTCAGAGCTTTCCAATCCTGAACAGTAGGATTGTTAGCATGTCTGCTAAGCAGGTTAGTGCTTACAGCTATGTCAGGTCTTGAGCATCTAGCAATGAAATTCAACTTGCCTAGAATGCATCTGTACAGCGTTGTGTCAGAAAACGCTTCAGCAGTACTATCTACCTGGTAACCTGTCACCATCGGTGTGTCTGCTGGGTTTGCATCAACCAAATTCAACCTGGTTAATACATCAGCAATTTTCTGTGTTTGGTGTACCAGAAAATTACCTGCTTGGTCCCTCTCCACCTGCAGAGAAAGATAGTTGGATACCTCACCAAGATCCTTCATGTCAAAGTGCTCCTTCAGCTGAGCTAGGGTGCCTTGGTAGAAAGCCTGATTCTTCCAAAACATCAGAAGATCATCAACAAAACATAAACAATACAGTTTGTTTTGCCCCTCCTCCTTGACAAACACACACGGATCAGCTTTGCCCTGGTGAAAACGTAGAGAAAGCAATGTCTAAGTGAGTTTCGTGTTCCAACACCTGGTACTCCGCTTGAGACCATATAAGGATTTCCGCAGTTTACAGACCATTCCCTTCTGTATCTGCATCCCGTCAGGTCGAAGCATGTACAGCTCCTCCCCCAAAATCCCGTACAAAAAAGCTGTATTAATGTCATGATGGGAAACATGCAGTTTCTCCTCTGCAGCGATCTTGAGCATCAGCCGAATGCTCTCATATTTGACGGTGGGTGAGTAGGTCTCGTGGTAATCCTGTCCTGGTACCTGTGAAAAACCTCTGGCAACCAATCTGGCTTTGTGTCTGACTACCTTGCCATTCTGGTCTGTCTTGGCCTTGAAGACCCATTTGCTGCCAACCAGTCTCATCCCTGGGACTACCGGTACCAGTTCCCAAGTTTGGTTCCTGTTCAAGGAATCAACTTCAGCCTTCATGGCATTTAGCCAAGGCTCAGCATCTTTAGAGGTTAACTCCTGAACCTCTTTGAAGCTTGAAGGTTCCCACACCTTCTCTGAGCTACTAAGAACAGCAGTTGCCGTCTTAGCAAACTCATCAGCAAATCTCTTTGGAGGTTTGCCCTTGGTGGCTCTCTCAGATCTGCGTACTAGACGCAAGTCTTCTCAACTCATTTCCTCTTTCTTAGGAGAAAAGTGACCAATGGTGAACAGTGGTTCTTCCAGTTCATTGTCAGACGCATCAGATGGTCTGACTGAGGCCTTTGCGCTCTTGTAGTCTGCTGTGTCATCACTGTCACTGACATCAGCAGCAGCGCCGCCCACTGAGCTGGAATCCGAACTCTGATCATCATCATCCTCAGCTTCCTCAGCTTCCTCAGCATCATCTGCTTTTTTCACATCACCTTCATCTTCCTCTGGGTAACTCTGGAAAATTCCCACATTTCCCCCCCACTTAGGATTGTACTCAACACTCCTTGTGAACTTTATGGACTTAGAGTCAGTCATCCATACCCTGTATGCACCTTTTTCGTACCCCATGAACAAACCATGTGCCCCATGCTTCCCAAGCTTGTTGCTCTGTGGGGTGTGTACCCACATGTCAGAACCAAAGATTGTCATGTGCTTGACGTGAGGTTTCTTACCAAACATCTTCTCATAGGGAGTGCAACCAATAGGTGATGACAATCTGCGATTAAAAGTGTAAACATACGAGTTCAAAAACTCCCCCCAAAACTTTTCAGGGAGATTGGCATCATGCAACAATGTTTTCAGTCCTTGCAGCAACGTTTGCTTTGCTTGCTCACAAATCTCCCATGGAGATCCAGGATTTGAGAGGCTATGCTGGATTCCCTTCTCAGTCAGGAAAGCTTCAAACTGCTGAGAAGTGAATTCAGCCTCTCGATTAGTAAACAAACAGCCAATGCGTTTACTGTGAACATTCTCCAACCAAGCACAGAATGCCTTGAACCTAGGAAACGCTTGCGATTTCTGCTCGAGCATAAACACATGAATGTACCTGGGAAAAGAATCAATTAGAACCATGAAGTACCTTGCTCCACCCAAAGAGGGCGCAAGTGGACCAACCAGGTCTGCGTGGACTAGCTGGTAGGGTTTGGAAGCCTGCCTGCTAGACTCCTTGCCTTTTGGAGCAACCTTCACCTTGTTCTCTGCACAAGATACACATTTCATGTGAAACTTACAGGGTTTGATGTTCAAACCCTCAACCATCTCTGGCATCTTGGCCAGCGCCTGCCAAGAGAGGTGACAAAATCTTCTGTGTGCATCATGAATGCATCCTGCATGAAGAACTTTGTTAGTTTGTGCAACACAACAAGAATCAACATTAGACATAGCAACAGCTTTGTCATCATAAGTTATACAGAACAAACCATCTATAAACTTTGCATGCAAAATGTCCTCTTTGCCTTTCCTGATGACACAGACGCTCCTCTTGAAGGATATCTCAAAACCACGCCCAGTCAGCTGTGGGACACTGAGCAAATTGTCTGCAGCACCTGGAACATAAAGTACATCTTTGATGGTAGTGTGCAGACTTGCCAGTTTCACAGTCCCTTCTCCTGCAATTCGTAACGTCTTTCCGTCAACCAGGTGGATCTCACCATCTTGAGGTGTGAAGGAGAGAAAGAGATGCCGGTCTTTTGTGAGATGACGGGTGCATCCTGAATCCACAATAAATCTGGCCTTGGCCTTTGGAGCAGCTGTGCCAGCAAACAAAGCCTTGTTTTCCACTGGCGTGGGCTCTTCACCCCCCTTCTGCTTCGGGCCATCTGCAGGCATCTGTCTCTGTTTACTTCTGGCCTTCCGGTATCTGTGAGGATGACCTTGGCTCCCATGAGAAACAGAGCTCTCAGCTGCCTACTCCTTGGCTCCCCCTGGAGGCTGGAATGCTGCCTGGGATGACATCACAGTCAGCTCCCCCTGCAGCTTGCAACCGGTGCCCTCAGCATCCCTGCATTCACTCGCATTCTGGGAAACAGCCAGGACCTCCGACGCAGTCAAACTCTGGGCTGGGATGATTGGCAGATGGGCTACTTTCAAAGCATTCCACATCTGACGTGCAGTCGTGTTGCCAGCTAGCGTGGCAATTTCCTCCAGAGAGACGGACAAGACTATTACGTCCATGGCCTTCGAATGTTGGGCCTTCCATCTATCTGTCAGAGGAACTGGAGGGGCTTCACACACAGTATGCCACACTCCAAACTGTCGCAACAAACTCTCACACCACACAGCCCAGGTCTTATAATTGTGGCCATTTAGCTTTGGGCACTCAGCAGCCTCAGAAGCTTGGAAAAACTCCATTCCAGCTTTTTACTTGAGCCGTGAGTCTATTTCACTTCAGAGACTTCTTATAGAATCATAGAATCATAGAATCATAGAGTTGGAAGAGACCACAAGGGCCATCGAGTCCAACCCCCTGCCAAGCAGGAAACACCATCAGAGCACTCCTGACATATGGTTGTCAAGCCTCTGCTTAAAGACCTCCAAAGAAGGAGACTCCACCACACTCCTTGGCAGCAAATTCCACTGTCGAACAGCTCTTACTGTCAGGAAGTTCTTCCTAATGTTTAGGTGGAATCTTCTTTCTTGTAGTTTGGATCCATTGCTCCGTGTCCGCTTCTCTGGAGCAGCAGAAAACAACCTTTCTCCCTCCTCTATGTGACATCCTTTTATATATTTGAACATGGCTATCATATCACCCCTTAACCTCCTCTTCTCCAGGCTAAACATGCCCAGCTCCCTTAGCCGTTCCTCATAAGGCATCGTTTCCAGGCCTTTGACCATTTTGGTTGCCCTCCTCTGGACACGGCAGCTCATTAATCACGAAGCCTTTGGCGCAGCTTCCAGGCCAATTAGTCTGCCGGAGATCAAAGTCTCTTGCCGCAGCAAACAGAAAAGCCTTATTTGCTTTCGCTTTTCCACACATACCTCAGCAGTCTGTCGCCGTCTTACTCTCCTGTAAGTGCCGTGAATCTGGGCCCAAAACCTGTTGTTGGGATACTGCCAGGGAGACAAAATCCATCGTGGCCCCACGTCGCCTCCGGACGTCCATCGATCTCCCGTAGACACGCAGTATCAGCAATTAGCGACACGAGCTCCAGAAATAGCTTGCCACATTCCAGGGCTGATGCACGCTCTTATCAGCAGATAATGCACAGCAAAAGATGCACACAGGAGAGCATATTTACAAGTTTATTCAGGGTTGGTCAGAACAAAGAAAAACATGACTGCCTGCTTCAGCGTTCAGGCACCAAGAGAGAAACAAAAGCAACAGCAAACATAAACATCCTGTGAACAGGAAATACGCAGACTCTGTGACTCTCAAAGCCTGCTCCCTTTTAAGGTGGAACAGAAATATCCTAACATCCTGTACTCCACCGGGAGCCAGTGCAGCTGGTATAGCACCGGATGAATGTGATCTCGCAGCGAAGACCCCGTAAAGAGTCTCGCCGCGGCATTCTGCACCCGCTGGAGTTTCTGGGTCAGTCTCTTTTTTTTTTAAAAAAAATGATATTTATTGGAGTTTCACATGAAAAAAACATCTTAATAAAAAAAGAAATTTAAAAATAGAAAAAAAAACCATACAAAGTACAAAATACAAAAAGAAAAAAGAAAAAACAGTTAAAAACAATTCCATCTTTTCATCACAACTTTTACGTTTACTTATTTCCCGGACCTCCTCATACCTCCCTCTTTTGTATTCCAATTCAGTTTGTCCAGCAATTCCTTTCCCTCCTTTTTAATCCCATCCTTAATCTTAATATAATATAACATTAAATTTTAATCTATTAAAAACCAATTTTCCATTTCTTTTGACTTTTTTTAGTCCTAATCCTTAATCTTAATCTATATATAGCTTTAAAGTCTGTACAGCTAGAAGCCACTTAATTTCAATCCAACATCACTCTAACATTCTTTAATTTTGCAATATTTCTGTAAATAGTCTTTAAATTTCTTCCAATCTTCTTCCACCGACTCTTCTCCCTGGTCACGGATTCTGCCAGTCATTTCCGCCAGTTCCATATAGTCCATCACCTTCATCTGCCATTCTTCCAGAGTGGGTAGCTCTTGTGTCTTCCAATACTTTGTGATGAGTATTCTTGCTGCTGTTGTAGCATACATGAAGAAAGTTCTATCCTTTTTTAACACCGATTGGCTGACTATGCCCAGGAGAAAGGCCTCTGGTTTCTTCAAGAAGGTATATTTAAATACCTTTTTTAATTCATTATATATCATCTCCCAGAAAGCCTTAATCCTTGGGCACGTCCACCAAAGGTGAAAAAATGTACCTTCAATTTCCTTACATTTCCAACATTTATTATCAGGCAAATGGTAGATTTTTGCAAGCTTGACTGGGGTCATGTACCACCTGTATATCATTTTCATAATATTCTCTCTTAAGGCATTACATGTCGTAAATTTCATACCTGTGGTCCATAACTGTTCCCAATCAGCGAACATAATGTTATGTCCAACGTCTTGTGCCCATTTAATCATAGCAGATTTCACCGTTTCATCCTGAGTGTTCCATTTCAGCAGCAAGTTATACATTCTTGACAAATTATTAGTTTTGGGTTCTAACAGTTCTGTTTCTAATTTTGATTTTTCCACCTGGAAGCCAATTTTCTAGGAGTTTCTGGGTCAGTCTCAAGGGCAGCCCCACGTAGAGCGAGTTACAATAATCCAGTCTGGAGGTGACCGTCACGTGGATCACAGTGGCTAGGTCAGGGTGAGAGAGGTAAGGAGCCAACTGCTTAGCTTGGCGGAGATGAAAAAATGCTGCCTTTGTTATAGCTGCAATCTGCGCCTCCATGGAGAGGGAGGTATCGAAGATTACACCCAAACTCTTAATGGACGGTGCTGGCACTAATTGCACCCCCGCAAGAGATGGGAGTTGCCCCCTCAATCCCATATCGTCCCGTCCCAGCCAGAGGAGCTCTGTCTTCGAAGGATTTAACTTCAACCGGCTTCTACGTAACCATCCAGCCACAGCTTCCAAGCATCTGATCAGTGTGTCTGGGGCCGAGTCAGGATGGCCATCCATCAACAGATAGAGTTGGGTGTCATCAGCATACTGATGGCAGCCCAGCCCAAAACTCCGGACAAGCTGGGTGAGGGGGCGCATAAAGATATTAAAAAGCATTGGGGAGAGTATTGCAGCCTGGGGCACTCCACACACCAAGGAGTGGCGCGATGACAATTCCCCCCCAAGCGCCACCCTCTGTCCCCAACCAGAGAGAAATGAGCGCAGCCATTGAAGGACTGTGCCCTGGATCCCCACGTCGGCAAGGCGGTGGTCCAGGAGTTCGTGATCAACCATGTTGAAGGCTGCTGACAGGTCTAGAAGAATCAGCAGCCCCGACCCGCCTCAATCCAGCTGCCTGCGGAGATCATTTGTTAGGGCGACCAGAGCCGTCTCGGTCCCATAACCAGCGCGGAAGCCGGACTGGAATGGATCCAGAGCCGATGTTTCATCCAGAAACCTACCGGCAACCGCTCTCTCAATCACCTTACCCAGGAATGGAAGATTCGAAACCGGGCAGTAATTGGATAGATCTAAGGGATCTAATGATGCTTTCTTTAAGAGCAGGCGCACCACTGCCTCCTTCAGTCCCCTGGGAATGTCCCGGTGCCAAGGGACAAATTGATGATATCCCCCAGGGGGGTCCGCACCTCGTCCCACGATTGGAATGTAATAATGGAGGGATACAATCTATTTCAGAGAAACAGACCAGACAAGAAAGGAGGAGGAGTGGGGTTATATGTCAGGGATGTGTATACCTGTGAAGAGATCCAAGATTTAGAACCTCAAAGCCAAAGTGAGAGCATTTGGGTCAAAATTAAGGGAGAGAAGAATAACAGAGACCTCATTGTGGGAGTTTACTATAGATCCCCAAGCCAAACGGAGGACATAGATGATGCCTTCCTGGAACAGATGGCCAAGCATGCAAAAGGAAGGAGATAGTAGTAATGGGGGGACTTCAATTACCCGGATATTTGTTGGATGTTAAACTCAGCCAAGAGCATAAGGTCAAACAGATTCCTCACTGGCCTTGCAGACAACTTCATTGTCCAGAAAGTGGGAGAAGCAACAAGAGGAACAGCCATTTTAGATCTGGTCCTAACCAATGTTGATGACCTGGTTAGTGGGGTAGAAGTGGAAGGATCATTAGGCGCGAGTGATCATGCTCTTCTGAAGTTTACTATACAGCGGAAAGGAGCAGCCAAGCATACTAGGACTCAATTTCTTGACTTTAAGAAAGCTGACTTCATAAAACTTAGGGAAGTGCTGGGTGAGATCCCATGGACAGTAATACTAAAAGGAAAGGGAGTTCATGATGGCTGGGAGTTTGTTAAGAGGGAGATACTAAAAGCACAACTTCAGGCAATACCAATGAGACGGAAACATGGAAGGTGCCTAAAGAAGCCAGGGTGGCTATCTAAAGAACTTTTAACTGAGTTAAGATTTAAAAAGGATGTGTACAAAAAATGGAAAAGGGGGGAAACCACCAAAGAGGAATTCAAACAAATAGCCAGCACGTGTAGACACAAAGTCAGAAAAGCTAAAGCACAGAATGAACTCAGGCTTGCTAGAGAGGTTAAAAGCAACAAAAAGGCTTTTATGGGTATGTTCGTAGCAAAAGGAAGAACAAAGAAACAGTGGGGTCACTCAGAGGAGAAGATGGTGAAATGCAAACAGGGGACACAGAAAGGGCTGAACTCCTCAATGCCTTCTTTGCCTCAGTCTTCTCCGATAAAGAAAACAATGCCCGACCTGAAGAATTTGGAGCAAATGATTCAGCAGAGGAAACACAGCCCAGAATAACTAAGGAGATAGTACAAGAATACTTGGCTAGTTTAGATGTATTCAAGTCTCCAGGGCCAGATGAACTGCATCCAAGAGTATTAAAAGAACTGGCAGATGTGATCTCAGAACCACTGGCAGTCATCTTTGAGAATTCCTGGAGAAAAGGCGAAGTCCTGGCAGACTGGAGGAGGGCAAATGTTGTCCCTATTTTCAAAAAGGGGAAAGAGAGGACCCAAATAATTATCGCCCAGTCAGTCTGACATCAATACCAGGGAAGATTCTGGAGCAGATCATTAAGCAAACAGTCTGTGAGCACCTAGAAAGGAATGCTGTGATCACCAATAGTCAGCATGGATTTCTGAAAAATAAGTCATGTCAGACTAACCTGATCTCGTTTTTTGACAAAATTACAAGCCCGGTAGATGAAGGGAACGCAGTGGATGTAGCCTACCTTGATTTCAGCAAGGCATTTGACAAGGTGCCCCATGATATTCTTGTAAAGAAGCTGGTAAAATGCGGTCTTGACTATGCTACCACTCAGTGGATTTGTAACTGGCTGACTGACCGAACCCAAAGGGTGCTCATCAATAGTTCCTCTTCATCCTGGAGAAGAGTGACTAGTGGGGTGCCACAGGGTTCTGTCTTGGGCCCGGTCTTATTCAACATCTTTATCAACGACTTGGATGATGGACTCAAGGGCATCCTGATCAAATTTGCAGATGACACCAAACCGGGAGGGTGGCTAACACCCCAGAGGACAGGATCACACTTCAAAACGACCTTGACAGATTAGAGAACTAGGCCAAAACAAACAAGATGAACTTTAACAGGGAGAAATGTAAAGTATTGCACTTGGGCAAAAATGAGAGGCACAAATACAAGATGGGGGACACCTGGCTTGAGAGCAGTACATGTGAAAAGGATCTAGGAGTCTTGGTTGACCACAAACTTGACATGAGCCAACTGTGTGACACGGCAGCTAAAAAAGCCAATGCAATTCTGGGCTGCATCAATAGGAGTATAGCATCTAGATCAAGGGAAGTAATAGTGCCACTGTATTCTACTCTGGTCAGACCTCACCTGGAGTACTGTGTCCAGTTCTGGGCACCACAGTTCAAGAAGGACACTGACAAACTGGAACGGGTCCAGATGAGGGCAACCAAAATGGTCAAAGGCCTGGAAACGATGCCTTATGAGGAACGGCTAAGGGAGCTGGGCATGTTTAGCCTGGAGAAGAGGAGGTTAAGGGGTGATATGATAGCCATGTTCAAATATATAAAAGGATGTCACATAGAGGAGGGAGAAAGGTTGTTTTCTGCTGCTCCAGGGAAGCGGACACGGAGCAATGGATCCAAACTACAAGAAAGAAGATTCCACCTAAACATTAGGAAGAACTTCCTGACAGTAAGAGCTGTTCGACAGTGGAATTTGCTGCCAAGGAGTGTGGTGGAGTCTCCTTCTTTGGAGGTCTTTAAGCAGAGGCTTGACAACCATATGTCAGGAGTGCTCTGATGGTGTTTCCTGCTTGGCAGGGGGTTGGACTCGATGGCCCTTGTGGTCTATTCCAACTCTATGATTCTATTCTATTTTATTCGTCTGGCCTCCTTGATGTGTGGGGCCCGAAACAAACTGGGAGAGCCCTAGTGTCACCATAGAAGACACCAGGTCCACAGCCTGTGAGGAGGGAGTGGCATCAACATGGATGTTGAAGTCCCCCAATACCAATAGGTTAGGGAACTCCAAGGCCCAGCCGGCTACCGCCTCCAGCAGGCCTGACAGGGTGGCTGCTGGTGCGCTAGGTGGCCGGTACACCAGCCAGACAGCCAAGCTCACCTCGGAGTCCCACACTAGGCCAACACATTCAATGCCGGGGATCGATGGCAGTGGAGGACTGGTGGAGGACGGAGAAACCCGGGGGTGCCATCTCTCGTAAGGTAACAGTTTCCCCTTCGCGCACCCAGGTCTCCGTCACACAAGCCAGGTCGACCCCCTGCGAGGTGAAGAAATCTCACTGGGTGGCGGTTTTGTTACCTATAGATCTGGCATTGCACAACACCAGTGACGGAGGTGAGTAATCCTTGCTCACCCTACCCTCGTCCCTCGGGATGGGGCGCAGATTGGAAGGGGTACGAGCATATCCGTATCTCGATCCCCTTCGCCTATGACATCTGCCCCCACCGCCATACCTCCCTCGCCTCATTGGGTGAATTGTACTACTAACAAGGGACATAGAATGCATAAAATCCTTTTTGGCTGACACTAATAAAATTTTTACCATCCTGATAGGTACTTGTAAAACCTTCTGGAATAAAATCTGGCAGAGAGTGTGGAACCGGATAACAACAATAATATCTTTTAAAATAGATCAACACGGGAAGTTAAAAGAGCCGAGAGGGCAAACCATGGCAAAAGGAGGTCTATAAGCACAAAGAAAAGCAAAAACGTTAAAAATTACAAAATAGTGCAACATAAAAAAGTTGAGTTTAGAAAACTTTTTAACCTGCCTGAGAGCAGCTCTTGCTCTGGGTCCAGACAGAAGACTTTAGAAGTTTGTACTCTACTGGAATCTGCACACTAGATCCCTATAGCAATATGAAACTATATGCAAGATTATCAAATGGTCTGATGTCCTGTCAGAAGCCAAAACCAAACCAGGGAGAGGGTTTTGATAAACAAGAATTGGAAATGGGTGCTGTCTCAAAATAAGCTACTTCTCTCAAGCTACCCTAAGCCTTTGGGAATCTTGTCACAAGAGGAGCGTAAAGTTTGTGAATATAGTGTATAAGCACAGAGAATATCTTAGGAGGAGTGGTGTGTCAGTCTCAAGATTATTCCGAAATGTGGCATCACCAGCTCCTCTGCTTCCACATTCAGCAACACCTCCAAAAAGTCCTCAGTTCAAGGCAGACTATCCTGCTTTAGTTGACAAAAGATTCTGCAGGTGACAATCCAGACTAGCCAGATGACCTGGACCCCAAGGAACCCCCTAACTGAAAGACCCCAGGGTCCTTGCACTTGAGGAAGCTGGGGAATGACCTTATTGAGAGTTCAAAGAGTATCAACAGGGATCTCCATACAAAGCACCTAGCATGGGGGCACCTACAGGTAATAGTTACTCATCTACTTTCTGCCCATGCTCTGATGTTGCAGTTTTCAGGCTTGGGGACAGGATGGCGTCTGGTTTTGGCACCAACACCTGCTCATAAGTCCCATAAACCCATAAGTCCAGTTGAAACTGGAACCACTGGAGATGTTTAGAAATGGGGCTACTGTTGGGAAGGGGTGCCCCATTTGGGCTTCTCCAGGGGCTGTAGAATATCTAGGGCAGGAGAATCCTTGCAGGGCCTCTGGGACTCCCTTTGCTTCTTCCTCTCCCCACCTCCAGCATCACCGTCTGAGGCAGGGAGAGGTCTGCTAGGTGGCAGGGGGTGAAGAAGGGGAAATGGATGCATGGGGGCTAGAGGGGGAAACCGCCCCCCCACAGGTAAGCAGAAAAGGCAGAGGGGGAAGGGAGGGAAGGAGTCTGCTCTAAAGACTCAGCAGGCGCATGGATCAGTGTTTGTCTGGATATAAGAGAAGGAGCAATATGTGGACTATATGGAACTGGCGGAAATGACTGGCAGAATCCGTGACCAGGGAGAAGAGTCGGTGGAGGAAGATTGGAAGAAATTCAAAGATTATTTACAGAAACACTGCAAAATTCATAGAATCATGGAATCATAGAGTTGGAAGAGACCACAAGGGCCATCGAGTCCAACCCCCTGCCAAGCAGGAAACACCATCAGAGCACTCCTGACATATGGTTGTCAAGCCTCTGCTTAAAGACCTCCAAAGAAGGAGACTCCACCACACTCCTTGGCAGCAAATTCCACTGTCGAACAGCTCTTACTGTCAGGAAGTTCTTCCTAATGTTGAGGTGGAATCTTCTTTCTTGTAGTTTGGATCCATTGCTCCGTGTCCGCTTCTCTGGAGCAGCAGAAAACAACCTTTCTCCCTCCTCTATGTGACATCCTTTTATATTTGAACATGGCTATCATATCACCCCTTAACCTCCTCTTCTCCAGGCTAAACATGCCCAGCTCCCTTAGCCGTTCCTCATAAGGCATCGCTTCCAGGCCTTTGACCATTCTGGTTGCCCTCCTCTGGACACGTTCCAGTTTGTCAGTGTCCTTCTTGAACTGTGGTGCCCAGAACTGGACACAGTACTCCAGGTGAGGTCTGACCAGAGTAGAATACAGTGGCACTATTACTTCCCTTGATCTAGATGCTATACTCCTATTGATGCAGCCCAGAATTGCATTGGCTTTTTTAGCTGCCGCGTCACACTGTTGGCTCATGTCAAGTTTGTGGTCAACCAAGACTCCTAGATCCTTTTCACATGTACTGCTCTCAAGCCAGGTGTCCCCCATCTTGTATTTGTGCCTCTCATTAAAGAATGTTAGAGTGATGTTGGATTGAAAATAAGTGGTTTCCAGCTGTACAGGATTTAAAGTTTAGATAGACTAAGATTAAAGATTAGGATTAAAGAAGTTTAAGGAAATGGAAATTTGGTACTTAAGAGGTAAAACTTTAATGCTATATTACATTAAGATTAAAGATTGGGATTAAAAAAGTGGAAAAGAAATTGCTGGACAAACAATTTGGACTGGAATACAAAAGAGGGAGGTATGAGGAGGTCCAGAAAATAAGTAAATTTAAAAACGGAAATGAAAAGGTGATATTGTTTTTAACTGTTCTGGTTTTTTTTTTGTTTTCTGTTCTCTGTGTTTTTTTTTTTCTTTTTTGGATTATGTATTGTGTATTTGTGTATTTCTTTTTTATGTTTTTCTGTTTAATTTGTTACTGAAACCTTAATAAAAATCATTAAAAAAAAAAAAGAGAAGGAGCAATATGCAGAGCATCCCTGTGCAGATTTACTCATAAGTAGGCCCCACTGAGTCCAATGGTATCTACTCTCTGGTCACTACTGTGCAGACCATGCCAGCCTTACAAAGTGGGGTGAGGAGCTGATATTGGAATCACTGGAATTGTTTAGAAATGGGGCTTCTGGTTCCTGTCTGCCTTAATGGATGCCACTCCCACGATAGCAGAGATCGTTAGCAAAGAATAAACAAGGATGATTTGAGCATAATTGTCCTTGCAAGCTCCCCCCAGAGCCCGGGCTGAGTGAGCTTCACTTGCAGATTGTCTCAATACCTGGCTCTCGCTCCAGCATGGAATCCGAAACGCAGGGAGGCGCTGAGTGCAAAAGCACTTTGCCTATCGGTAACCTTCCTATGCAGCCATTGAGAAGCAGAGGTACTTCTGTTTATTAGAGCGAAATTAGGACTAATATACAGACGTGTGCTGGAACAGAAGGAACAAGATCATAAACTGCTAAACTGAAACAGATACAAAGCCAAAACAATTTGAACTGGGAAGAAGACTTCCTTCGATGAAAAATGTATGTTGTTGGGGAGGGGGGAGCCTTTACCTTTTCTTTATATATATCATGTTTGCAACATAAATGATTCGGCAACACACACACACAAACACACACACACCCTGAATGCAAACAAACTGATAAAAAGCAAGAGGAGAAAAAAGAGAATGGGATTATATTTATGGATTACAACAAAAAAGAGAACTATGTGACAAAATTGAAATGGATTTAAAGTCTTGAGCTTTCACTGTATTGCTATGGAAGGAAATGGAGTTTGAGCTTTGATGATCGGCTATGGCTTTGGCAGGATGCCAGATCGTTATTGAGAGAGTTGGACGGAAGGAGAAGCTGGAGTCTTGCCAGAGCTTTGGCGGGACGCCAGATTACTCTCTATCTAGACTCAAACAATAACAAAAAAGGGAGAGAAGATGGCGTGTGACGCAGTTGAAATTACAGCCTCATTCTCTGGTAACAAAGGAAAAGAAAGAGCAAAAGAGCAGAAGCTGCGATGCTGTGCAGGACATGATGGAGAACAGGAGGAATGAGGAATCAACATGGAAAAAATGAAGATCACATACAGCAGGGATGTCCCACAGGTCGATCGCAGGCTCCTTTTCCTTTGCTTTTGCCTAAGAGCACCTGGCCCCGCCTCCTCTCCCTCGCTGCGTTTTGTCCTTTGCTCTTGAATGGAAGACATAGTTTTAGCTGCTTCTACAGCAATATTTTGGTCAGCGGCTAATCCCCCTCCCCAAAAGGAACCCCACTAAAATGGAGCATTTCCCCTCTCTAAAACAAGCTGAACAACTTTGACCTGAACCCCAATAAAACGGGGGTAGATCACTCCCAGTTTTTAATTCTGTGAGTAGCTCGCAGTCTCCTGGAAGTTGGCCACCCTTGACATACAGGAAATATATGGGGTACAGAAGTCCTCTGGCAAAAATAAAATTTATTAAATGTCTAAGTACAAAAGGAAGTCAAAAACTCTGTAGTTGCTGATAAGGGATTAAGATCAAGACAGAAGGGAATTGGATTAAGACAGACTTCGGAAGCAGGATGAAACAAAATTATCTCCCCTTGAAATCTAGCACGCGGGAGGCCACACAAAATGTACAATGGACTTCATAATTTATTTGAATTGTAATTGTAATTTGAGGTTGATAAAATGTGGTTTATATTGGATTTTAGTAATGGAAAAGGCATAAAAATTATTGAATACACAAAAGAAAAAATGGGGCTTCTCTTGGGAAGGGGCTGCCCCATTTGTGCTTCTCCAGGGGCAGGAGAATATCTAGGGCAGGAGAATCCCTGCAGGGCCTCTGAGGCTCCCTTTGCTTCTTCCTCTCTCCCAGGACCCTCCAGCTTCTTTTGGCTCCTCGACTCCTCAGGAAGGATGAAAGAGACGGATCCTGCAAAACTAGCGAGGATGGAAGGGGGAAGATGGACGGTTGACCTGGTCAGGTTGTCTCCTGCATCCCTCCCCACAACCTCTGAGCGTTCCCTCCCAGGGACCTCTGAGAGATCTGGTGAGTTCCAGGGGAGGGGAGATGGGGACAAGGATGGATTCAGCCAGAGAGGTATTGGGGCTTCCTCAGCTTGGGCGTGGGGGGAGGCAGGCAGGCGGATGGAGATGGAGAAGGGAAGCATCTTTTCGGGCTCCCCGCCTGCCTGCCTGCCTGCCTGCCTGCCTGCACCTTTGTCATCTGCAGGGAATTTGAGCTAGGAATACATCACAGCTCCCCACCCAAAGCGATGTATTGGCAGCTCAAAATGTCTAAAACCAGTTCTGTGATCTGGATGCCTTACCAGTGCCAGACAACTCACTGATCCGTCGCGCAGCACTAGAAGCCACGACTCTTGAAAGGAACCTGATCCTACTTTGCAAACTGAATGCAAGTGGGGCCTCTGTGTGCTGCCTTTTTCTTTTTGTATAACTTTTATTTGCTTTTAAAAATGAGGAACATAGGAATAATAAATGATACAAATATGTAGGCTGAGTGTTTTCATGACATTTGTATATCTCAAAAATAACAGAATAAATTTGCTGGAATATAATAGGAGCTCTTGCGGCCATTTAAGTGCTCAGATTAAGTGTGAGTAATAGTCATCTTTCCTCTTCTGTTACCAAGGAAACAGGGGGTTGGACTCGATGGCCCTTGTGGTCTCTTCCAACTCTATGATTCTATGATTCTAAGACAGAATTGGTCTCGTCATAAACATGGGAGGGCGGTTCAACATGAAGAAAGAGATTTATGTATAAATTTGAATTTAGACCAACCAGATTGAGATAACTTCTGATTGGGGAGTGTTCAGGTGACGATGTTGCTGTTTGTTTCACAGACAAGGCATGGATGTTGCTGGATCCTGACCAGACAGCTCAGCATAAAGAAGTCAAGGAGGAGAATCGTGGGATTGTGGACTCTCTTGGTAAGGCTCCCTGTTGGATCATAATATCAGTTTTGATTGGAGATGGAGTGGATTCCAGAACTCAGCCGGAAAAATATCCATCCCAGATAAAAGCCAAGCAATATTTCAGTTAATACCAGCAAACAAAAACAGTGAAAACAATAGGATGCGTCACATCTAATTTTCTTCAGTTCTTCCTCTATCACAAGCATTCATTAACGTTGTTGAATAAACTTTAGCTCCATTTCTTCCTGAGGCTCTAATTAGCTTCTCTCTTCATTGCAGATAGTGATGAATTAGAAGGGAAAAACAAGGGAGACCACAACAGAATCCACATAGCGAAGAAGTCAGATAAATATTCAGAGTGTGGAGAGAACATCCGTCAGAGCTCCCAGTCCACCTCCCATCAAAGAAAGAGCTTCATTCGAAGGAATAGCCTCACTTCACATGAAAGACCACAGAGTAGGGAGAAATTGTATCAGTGCAGAGAATGTGGAAAGAGCTTCAGTCGGAAGGATCACCTCACTTCCCATCACAGAATTCATACAGGGGAGAAACCTTTTCAATGCCATGAATGTGGAAAGAGCTTCAGTCAGGAGGGGAATCTCACTTCTCATCAAAGAATTCATACAGGGGAGAAACCCTATCAGTGCTTGGAATGTGGAAAGAGCTTCAGTCAGGGAACCCATCTCACCTCCCATCACAGAATTCATACAGGGGAGAAACCTTTTCAATGCCATGAGTGTGGAAAGAGCTTCAGTCACAGTAAGACTCTCACTTCTCATCAAAGAATTCATACAGGGGAGAAACCCTATCAGTGCTTGGAATGTGGAAAGAGCTTCAGTCTCAGGCACGATCTTACTTCCCATCAAAGAATTCATACAGGGGAGAAACCCTATCAGTGCTTGGAATGTGGAAAGAGCTTCAGTCAGGGAACCCATCTCACCTCCCATCACAGAATTCATACAGGGGAGAAACTTTTTCAATGCCATGAGTGTGGAAAGAGCTTCAGTCACAGTAAGAAACTCACTTCTCATCAAAGAATTCATACAGGGGAGAAACCCTATCAGTGCTTGGAATGTGGAAAAAGCTTCAGTCACAGTGCCACACTCTCTTCTCATCAAAGAATTCATACAGGGGAGAAACCCTATCGGTGCTTGGAGTGTGGGAAGAGCTTTAGTGTCAGAAACAGTCTCACTTCTCATCAAAGAATTCATACCGGGAAGAAACCCTATCAGTGCTTGGAATGTGGGAACAGATTCAGTAAAAGCTCGAATCTCACTTCCCATCAAAGAACACATACAGGGGAGAAACCCTATCATTGCTTCGAATGTGGAAACAGTTTCAGGCAGGGGCCTGAGCTCACTTCCCATCACAGAATTCATACAGGGGAGAAACCCTATCAGTGCTTGGAATGTGGAAAGAGCTTCACTCGGAACGGTCGCCTCACATCCCATCAAAAAATTCATACAGAGAGAAAACCAAAAAAGAAAAATAATAAAGCTAAAATTATTAAACAACCCTTACAAAACACAATTACATAGAAAAGAGAAAGGAGGAAGAATAACTAAAAATACCCTTTATCACATTTGTATCATATATATCATGACAGCAGCCACGAAATTAAAAGACGCCTCCTTCTTGGGAGAAAAGCAATGACAAACCTAGACAGCATCTTAAAAAGCAGAGACATCACCTTGCCAACAAAGGTCCGTATAGTTCAAGCTGTGGTTTTCCCAGTAGTGATGTACGGAAGTGAGAGCTGGACCATCAAGAAGGCTGATCGCCGAAGAATTGATGCTTTTGAATTCTGGTCTGGAGGAGACTCTTGAGAGTCCCATGGACTGCAAGAATATCCAACCTCTCCATTCTGAAGGAAATCAGCCCTGAGCGCTCACTGGAAGGACAGATCCTGAAGCTGAGGCTCCAAGACTTTGGCCACCTCATGAGAAGAGAAGACTCCCTGGAAAAGACCCTGATGTTGGGAAAGATGGAGGGCACAAGGAGAAGGGCACAACAGAGGACCAGATGGTGGGACAGTGTTCTCCGAGCTACCAGCATGAGTTTGACCAAACTGCGGGAGGCAGTGGAAGACAGGAGTGCCTGGCGTGCTCTGGTCCATGGGGTCACGGAGAGTCGGACACAACTAAACAACAACAATACAAAAAATAGAAAAAGAGATGAAAAGAAAACTCCCATATCCGTCTGATATGATATATATATCATATCATTCATCAACCCATAGAAAGACAGGCTCCCCCACTTCTCCCCTGCGTGATCCCCTCTTCTCCCCGTATCCCACCCTGAGAGATCCTTCCTTCCCTGCGTTCCTTGCAGGTCCCTCCCACCTCCAACTCTCCTTTTCCTGTGTGTGGCCTCCTAGATTCAAAATAAAGGAATCTTAATATAAAAAATACAAAAAGAGATGAAAAGGAAACTCCCATATCTGTCTGAAAATCATCTGTAGCAACAATTATTCAGAATATGCACTCCAGAATAAACCCAGCTGTATTTAGTATCCAGCCTTTCTCCTCCCCTTCAGCAAGATGACACTTTTCCTACATCTCCCTCCCTAGCCCAGCCTTCAAATCTTAATCACTCAGACAGTTCAATATGACTCTTATAATGATTGTCTAATAATCCAAATTAATATTTCTCCAGTTTCTATAAAGCCTCATTAAAACTGTTGCAACAAATCTCAGCCAAGTCTCAATCCAAAATTCTGGTCTCTTATAATGTTCATCCAATCCTGCTTCCTCTTCTTTCTTCTTTTCCTAATCTTTGGACATTTTAATCCACTGGGGATGGGGAAGCAGGCATCTTAATCCCCTTTCCTCAGAGTCTCCCTCATACGAGATCGTAGGTTGCGTGGTTAATAGTTTCCGTTGTTGCACTGAATCCCCTTTTCCTGGCTGTATATTTACATATATCCGCCAATCCCGATCCTGCTTGCTGGTGGGCGAGCAATTTTTGGCATTCCCCTCCCCGCCCCTTTACTACCTGTGTAAATTTTGAACCTCATTTTGGGGTCAAAAAAGCTCATCTTGTACACGGAAAAATACAGTTGTGTGCCACACACACACACCTGCCTCTTGTTTGGAGGAGGAGTGAGAGACGGAGGCACTTTACTGACAGAATGGCATTTCCCTCGCACCTCCTTTCCTCCCAGGAGCTCCTCCTTCCACAACAACCCTGCCAGGCTGGCCTCTTGCATGTCGCCCCCTTTCCAGCAGGCGAAGCTGCAGGGGCCACTCACTTCTTGGCTGTCCAAAAATGGACGAGGCTTTTGACCAGGCATCTTCAAACTATGGTCCACAGGCCGGATCTGGCCCACCAGGCTTGTAAATGTGGCCCGTGGATCCTGCCACCCGCTCGGTCAGTCCCCGCGCGCTGAGCTAAACCAGCACGGCAGGAGGTTTTCTTGAAAAGAATCCGCGGACGCCCTTGTTCGTATCGAGAGAGAGGGCCGAGGGGAACAAAAGCTGCTCTGCCTGGCCGTCTCTGCAGGGACGTTGCGGGGAAACGGGCTCCTTTTGCACCCAGGTCTCGAGAGGGGATAAACTTGGCTCTGGACTGTACCACTTCAAATGCCCTGGAGGGGGAGGTAAAGGGACACCCAATGACCCACATTCTGATTTATTTATTTTGGGGTGGCAGGGATATGCTGATTTTGCTCAATTCAGTCTCCCCTCCTCCAAAAAGGTTCTCTCCCACAATCCCAAAGACAACACAGGCCCCCGTCAAGAGTCTCCCAGAGCATGTGCAGAGTTCAGAGATGCTTTTGTTGCGATTCCTGTCTTGCGGAAGGTTGGACTAGATGACCCTCAGGGCTCCCTTCCAATTCTATCATTTCACAGCACGCAAGTGAGGAGGGGCAGGGACTGTTAGAAAGGGGGGCTTTTGCTATCCACAGATCTGGCCCCCTCCTTAAAATCACAGCTGTGAATCTGCAGGATGCGAAGCCAAGCAGACCCCTGACCCCAAAAAAGAAGGGGAAGGAGGCTTCCAACAAGGGACCGGAGGGGCAAGAATGGGCAGCAAAAGAGGAGGGACCCAGGAGTCCTGGGGCCTACGATCCACTTTGCTCTTTCAACGGGATCTGGAGACAGGCAACAAACCAAGCCGGGAGTTGGGTTGCCCAGAGTCCGTTACTGCAGAAAGAAGAGAAATCTGTGAGATTCTGACCCGATTCGGAGATGAAACATTAGCTGGCTGGGGGTTGCAATTGCAGGAATTGTTCCACAACAACCCTGCGAAGTAGGCAGACTGGATCCTGCCCCCCAGCCCCGCTGCGAGCTTCATCATGGCCAGGGACTGGGGATTCGAACCCAGATCTCTCTGCCAGGGCCTAGTCTGGCCCTCTCACCACTGCACCGCACTGCCTCTCAGTGAGTGACACAGAGATAAGTTTTTAAAAGAATAGAAAGATGAGGAATCGAGAGAACTTGGTAGTCTTGGGAGCATCTTGGACACTGACCTCGGATTTGGGCTTCTCCAATTTGGGTTTTTCTTCAGAAGCTGGAAAAAGGAGGGAAATGAAGCAGGGAAAGGTGAATGACGAGAAAACCCAGGGAAATGGACAGGAATACTTGAAAGCATGCAGAAAGCTGAAACGGAGATCAACATTTCTGAGCCGCTGGGCAGGGATGTTTTTAGCAGGCGACCAAAGAGAGTCTGGCCAAGGCGCCTGGTTGGTATCAAGAGGCAGGGATCTTGGAGCCAGGAGGGACCCCGAGGGTCATCTAGTCCAACCCCCCACAAGGCAGGAATCTTGAACCCAGAACCCTGAAATCAAGAGCCTCAGGCTCTCCCAGCTGAGCTTCTTGTACTGGCAACTGTGGGAAAGGGGAGTCAATTGGCCAGTGCCAGTTCCGCCAATCAACAATGTCAAGTGGGGGGAGGGGAAGGTTTCTCACCTGCTTTTACTGTCAATATTGCCATGGTCTTAATAGATTCTGAATCGGGTCGGCAAACTACGGGCCCCAGTCATTTAAGAACCTGCCGCAAAGCCGGAACCCCCCACGAAGCTGAGACTCCCGGCGATGGGAGGAAGAGGCCGATCGGCGGCGCCTCTGCCAATCAAACGCCACGCCTGGTTTACCTCAAGTAGTCAACCCAGCAGATGCATTTGATCCAGAGATTTCCGCTTTCCGCTTGCCCCACGGTGCCCCCTACCCCCTGCCCCCCAGGAGGGTGGAACTGATGACATTGGACATTCCTCATTTAAATCTACCTCTACCTCTTCTTTAAATCAGAACCAGTGAAGGCGGTGAAGGTCCTGTGTGAGTGTCTGGAGGCGGTTGGAGGATGGATGGCGGCTAGCAGATTGAGGTTGGATCCTGACAAGACAGAAGTACTGATTTTGGGGGACGGGGCGGGCGGGTGTGGGGGATTCCCTGGTCCTGAATGGGGTAACTGTGCCCCTGAAGGACCAAGTGCGCAGCCTGGGAGTCATTCTGGACTCACAGCTGTCCATGGAGGCGCAGGTTAATTCTGTGTCCAGGACAACTGTCTACCGGCTCCTTCTGGTACGCAGGATGAGACCCTACCTGCCCACAGACTGTCTCGCCAGAGTGGTGCATGCTGTAGTTATCTCCTGCTTGGATGACTGCAACGCACTCTATGTGGGGCTACCTTTGAAGGTGACCTGGAAAGTGCAATTAATCCAGAATGCGGCAGCTAGATTGATGACTGGGAGCGGCTGCCGGGACCACATAAAACCAGTTCTGAGACATCTGCATTGGCTGTGGTGTAGTGGTTAAGAGCGGTAGTCTCCTAATCTGGGGAACCGGGTTCGCGTCTCCGCTCCTCCACATGCAGCTGCTGGGTGACCTTGGGCCAGTCACACTTCTTTGAAGTCTCTCAGCCCCACTCACCTCACAGAGTGTTTGTTGTGGGGGAGGAAGGGAAAGGAGAATGTTAGCCGCTTTGAGACTCCTGAAGGGGAGTGAAAGGCGGGATATCAAATCCAAACTCTTCTTCTTCTTCTTCTTCTCCCAGTACGTTTCCGAGCACAATTCAAAGTGTTGGTGCTGACCTTTAAAGCCCTAAATGGTCTCAGCCCAGTATACCTGAAGGAGCATCTCCACCCCTATTGTTCAGCCCGGACACTGAGATCCAGCGCCGAGGGCCTTCTGGCGGTTTCCTTGCTGTGAGAAGTGAGGTTACAGGGAACCAGGCAGAGGGCCTTGTCGGTAGTGGCACCCGCTCTGTGGAACGCCCTCCCTTCAGATGTGAAGGAAATAAGCAGCTATCCTATCTTTAAAAGACATCTGAAGGCAACGCTGTTCAGGGAAGTTTTTAATATTTAATATAAAGCTGTACTGTTTTTAGCACTTGATTGGGAGCCGCCCAGAGTGGCTGGGGAAACTCAGCCAGATGGACGGGGTATAAATAATAATATATTATTATTATTATTATTATTATTATTATTATTAAATCATGGCCTTTCTGGCCCGCCTTCTCCTCCCAGGGGCTCAAGGCGGGCTCCCTCCCCTTCCACTGCCATTCCCCCGCGCTGACCCCGCCAGGCAGGCCTGCCTGAGAAGCACCGACTGGCCCTCGGTCCCTCTCTCCCAGGCTGCTGGCGCAGGGCTCTAACCGCTAGGCCGCGCTGCTCCCCTTCCGCTCGCCAGGTGGTACCTGCGGTGGTGGTGACGCTGCTGACCCCATCCTGCTGCTTCCAAGGCGGGGCCTCCTCGGTGTGCAGGACGCTGCTGACCCCGAACTCGGCGTCGGGGGCCTGGATGCTGGCGATGAGCCACTTGCCCCTCTCCAGGGCGCGGGGGCAGCCCCCTCCGCCCGCCAACCCCTCCGCCCAGGCGACAAAGTGGGACTCTTGCGGCGCGTAAGCGTTGATCTCGCAGGAGGATTCAGCCTCGCTGGCATCCGGACTCAGCCACGGCAGGGGGGGGTGGCCGAGGCCTGACCGCCCCACAGGGCCCCAGAGGGGTCTGCCGGGGGGACAAAGCGGGGGGAGGTGAACCAGTGTCTGGGGGGGGAATGATGAGCCTTGTCTCTCCACTGCCGGACCCCCCAACCTACATCGCAGGGGGTTGGACTGGATGACCTTTGGGGTTCCCAACTCCACCGTTCTGGGTCAGCCAGTTCAGTTCAACTTGCAGAATCACAGAATTGGAAGGGACCCCCGAGGGTCATCTAGTCCAACCCCCTGCGATGCAGGAATCTCAGCGAGAACAAGATGCCCTCTAAGGAGGATTTGTTTTGTCTATTTAATGGAATTTAAACGCCAGTAAATAAACTAAAAGAATCAAGCAGTTTTGTACCTCTGAAAAGTGTAAATGCTGAGGTTGGAAAACAATTTGAAGTACATCCAGAATAAGCATAAAGAGATTAAATTTCTTGAGTCAAAAGGAGAGTACTAGATTAAATTAATCCACAACAATAGGACTCCTGAGTTCTTAGATGACTTCTTTTGTCCATTTACTGTATTTATTTTTCCCAATTAGAACTATAAAATGGTGATTTTCTTGAGTTAAAATGAGAGTAACCCTGAACAATTTTTAGAAAAAAAGCACTGTACCTATATACCAGAGAAGCATGTATGGAACTGTAGTTGTTGGCATATATAGTGATATATTGGAATATACCTTCCCCCCTTTTTATTTCTTTGTTCTCTATTCACTTTTTATTTCCCTTTTTATTATTCAAGTATTCTCAATTTAAATTGTGTGGTTGAACCCGGATCCAGGCCTCTTGGCCCTCATCAAAACTTCGCTTTGTTAACGGAAAAATCCGAGAGCTCCCTTGGACAAAAACAAAGACACCAACCAGGATAACTTGGAGCAAAACAGCAGCCTGTAGGCTTGGCCTTTATTGAACTGTTGCAACAGGGTGCTCCCCTCACTTGCAGGAGAGAGAAAGGACACAGAAAAATGGTGTGCAAGGCCTTATAAAGACTTTTGACATTCCCACCCTGTAGGTCAAGCCCACCCCCAGAAACATCACGCATACATCACAGAAAGGAGGGGTTGAGGGAGGAGTTGTGGTGGTAACCTGAGTGTCCTGTCACCTGGCTGGTTCCCCCTTTCCCCCTCCCCATGAGTACTTTCCAGATGACGGAGGGGAGTTGGCAGTTTCCTGCCCCCAGAGGGAAGATCTGATCATTGTCCTTTGTTTCAGTCCATGCTGAATCCACTCCCACATGCAAGTTCTTTGTGATCTTGATGGTCTTCTGTCTGGGACCATCAGGGTTGGCATAGCAACTGGGCAGGGCTCCTGTGGATGTGCTGGGATGGTGAAGGGATTATGGCTGACCAGTATCAAACCTTCCCCATTTTGTAGTCCTTCCTTCATGGAGTAAAATAAAAGTGGAACAGTGCAGATCCGATGTATGGTGGATTTTCTATGAATTTATAACAGAAGCCTAGCGTATGTCGTGTGTGAGTGTGTGAGTGTGTGTGTGGGTGAGTGTGTGTGAAGTTTGTGCAAACTGAATGATGGGGGGGGGTTTCCTGCGACAAGGGAGAGAGAGACCCGCCCCCCCCGCCGTTTCTGGGAGAGCCCTCCTTTCCTTTCCTTTCCCTTCCGCTCCCCTCCCAAGAGGCTCCCCCTTGTGTCTCTCTGTGTCTCTGAGGGACGAGAGAGGAGGCGCCCCTCCCCCCGCCGCTTCTTCCCCTCAACGACGTTTCCCGCCTTTTCCCAACTGCCTCGCCTCCGTTTTGGCGCCAAGGATTCCGGGCAGACCAGGCGGCGCTTTCCCGGGGCTTGAGGGGCGGATTTCTCTTCAGGCCTCTCGCTTTGCAAGCTCCTCTCTCTTTGGAAAGGCGGGATGAAAACTCCCTTCGCCTCTGCCTGCATCCCTCGCAGGACTGAAAAGTCCGATTTCTTTCCATTTGCTACGTCTAATGTCCGCTTTGGGTCTAGTTTGCCGCTGGCATAAAGTACCTCTTTTTTCAGCTGATCTGAAGGTCTAAATCATTGGCCCAAAGCTGCTTTATTGGTTAACCATTTTCCATGGGTCCTTTGTACGTGGGTCTCCTGAAAGCTTATTACAGTAAATCTCATTTTGGCCTCCCCCCAAGATCGCGAGTGCGATTCATTCCTTGCCTGGGACACTTCTTCATCTCCCTATTTTCCTGGTGGGGGAAAGGTGATTTTCGGGGGGGGAGGGGTCTCCTGACTGGGAAGCCCCCCCTCCCCCCCGCTGAGCTGGAGGGTGTCCCTTGGGGGGGTGTCTTGAGGGAGCCATTGCTGAGCCCAAGGCACCTCCCGCCACTAGGCAGCCCTTCGCTTCTCCTCCCTCCCAGGAGATAAGGGGGGAGGGAAGGGGGGCAGCCCCTAGAGCGCAGGCGCAGAAGCAGGAAAACTGAAGGCAGGGAGAGGGAGGGGAGGACTCGGGGCGCTCGGCTTGTCAAGGGTTAAAAGGAGCAGAGCGGGATTCCTAGAGAGGACAGGAAGTGAAGGGGGTGAAGGTCCTCCATGGGTAAATTCCCCCCTCCCCCTCCCTTCCTGCTTTCTTCTCTCTCCATTGCAAAAGCCCCTCCTGGACTCGGGTGAGTCTCCTCTCTCTTCCCCCTGAGGGTGCAATGGGGAGAAGGGGGTCCCAGGGGGGCAGGGAGGGGGCGTGGGGGGTCCCTGCTCAGATCATGCATGATGGGGGGAGACCCCCAAGTCAGGGAGCAGAGGGTCCTCCCTTGTCCTCTCTGCCAAGCCAGGGAGGGGCCAAGTCGCAGGAAATATGCAGCTCTGCTCTTCCTTGGGATCCAGATGCTGCCTTCCTTTTGGGGGGAGGGGGCTTTGAGTCAAGAAAATAAACCCCCTTCAGATGGAGGGAAAAGTCACATTTAAGAACAGAGGCTGCAGCCAGACGGGAACATTCCCACGTGGGGGGAGCGCAGGGAGAAGAAAAGCCCGTCTGCATCTGCAGCACCACTGCATCTCCAGACCACTTCCTGTGTCCCAGATGCAACAAAACATGTCTCTCCCCCAGATCTCACTCCCAAAGAAAACACTCTTCCATTGTCTCCTAAGACAGGTGGAAGCCAACCAGCCAACCATTCCCTCCCCTCACAATGCACAATGGGGCTTCCCCTCCCCTGACGTACCACTTTAGATAATGGGGCCTCCACTACCACCGCCGTGCGATTTCTGTTCTTATCCTGAAGCAAAGTTCTTAACCCGAGGTACTATTTCTGAGTTAGCGGAGTCTGTAACCTGAAGCGTCTGTAAACCAAAGTACCACTCTACCCATCATTTAAATACACAACAAAATTGTTACAGAAAAGAACAGAGCAATGTTTAGAAAAATATCATCTTTCTTCTCCCTTTTTCTCTTAGGGTCCAGTGTGCCTTGAAGACGTAGCTGTTCCTTTCACAGAGGAGGACTGGGCTTTGCTGGATCCTGACCAGAGAGCTCTGCAGAAGGAAGTCAAGGAGGAGAATCCTGGGATCGTGGCCTCTCTGGTAAGGCTCCCTGCTGGATCATAAGATCAGTTTTGAAATTCCATACAGATCTCTGAAGGACAAGCCTCCTCTATTTTGAGGGAGCCCCATAGCGCCACCTACAGCATCTGAGATGTTAACACACCCACAACTCTCCTGGAATGGAAAACTCAATAGGAGATGTATCTCCTGTTCTGTCTGGGAATATTCTTCCACCAGTCCTGCCTTTTCCAACCGTGAGGAGGCTGGTCTGAGCTGCCCAGGCCTTCTTCAATGTAGGCTTCAGAGATCTTAGGGACGTGGAGGTACATCCTGTCTAATTTTCTTTTTCCCTTTCTACATTTGTCTGGCTTCATTCTGTTGGTGAATCTAATTTTCCATGAAATATTTCCTACAGGGGACCGTTTAGAATGTGGAAAAAGCTTCACCTAGGAAACCAGTCTCAATTTCCATTAAATAAAAAACAGCAGGGATAATTATAGAATTTTAGAAAATGGTATAAGGCATATGGTATAAGGTATAACTGGTATTAGGAAACTTCATGAGGAATTAAGGGGAGAGATAGCGTTGACCTGGAGTAGTTACAAAATTTGTGGTCTCTCCCCGAGTGCCAGGGACCCTCCTCCAAAGAGAGCTTTTTTTTGTCAGAATAATTCATTTTTTCCCAATTTTTGGCAATTAATTGGCAATAAATGTTCTCACTGCCACGGTGGCGTAAAGAAATATTTGCTTATTTAAAACATCTTTATCAAATTTTCTGTTATTGCCTCACAAGCCGTAAAATTCCAACTCTCCTTCCATAATTTTTCCCATGATGTTACTTCAATAGGTTTCCATAAATCCATAGCCAATTTGATCATTACCGCCTTTACCTGTTCATCCATATCCTCCCACTCCAATAAGATTCCATACATTTAACAAATTACTTTTGTTTTGTTTTGTAGTAATTCTTTATCCAATACTGAAATTGCAAAATCCATTTTCTTGTCAGCTTTGAAGACCTCATTTATTTGGTGATACTGGATCCACCCTGTTAGGTGGTGTTTTATTTCCTCCCGCATTTTGGTCAGACTCACGTTTGTAGCTTCGAGAACACTGTCCAGCCATCTCATCCTCTGTCGTCCCCTTCTCCTTGTGCCCTCCATCTTCCTGGTATAATTCCCTGGAGAGCCAGTGTGGTATAGTGGTTAAGAGTGGTAGTCTCGTAATCTAGTGAACTGGATTCGCTCCTCCACATGCAGCTGCTGGGTGACCTTGGGCTAGTGCCACTTCTCTGAAGTCTCTCAGCCCCACTCACCTCACAGAGTGTTTGTTGTGGGGGAGGAAGGGAAAGGGGGAGGAAGCCGCTTTGAGACTCCTTCCGGGTAGTGATAAAGCAGAATATCAAATCCAAACTCTTCTTCTTCTTCAGCAGAATATCAAATCCAAACTCTTCTTCTTCTTCTTCAGCAGAATATCAAATCCAAACTCTTCTTCTTCTTCTTCAGCAGAATATCAAATCCAAACTCCTCCTCCTCCTCCTCCTCTTCTTCTTCTTCTTCTTCTTCTTCTTCTTCTTCTCCTCCTCCTCCTCCTCCTCCTCCTCCTCCTCCTCTGTGTATACTTGTCCCCTCTTCTTGATGTCTTGATATCTTCTGCTTCTGTTAGGTCATTACCACTTTGGTCCTTTATTATGGTAATCTTTGTACAAAATGTCCCTTTCATATCTCCAATTTTCCTGTACAGATCTCTGGTTTTTCCCATTCTACTGTTTTCCTCTATTTCTTTGCATTGCTCGTTTAAGAAGGCCCTCTTGTGTCTCCTTGCTATTCTTTGGAAATCTGTATTCTATTTCTTGTAGGTCTGCCTTGGATTCATATTGAGATCGTTCTATCATTTTTGAGATAGCATCCCAGTACAGTGGTGGCTCGCAAGACGAAAAACGCGCAAGACGAAAAACGCGCAAGACGAAAGAGTGTTCCGTTTTTTGAGTCGTTCCGCAAGACGAATTTCCCTATGGGCTTGCTTCGCAAGACGAAACGTCTTGCGAGTTCTTGTGAGTTTGTTTCCTTTTTCTTAAAGCCGTTAATAGCCGCTAAGCCGCTAATAGCCGTGCTTCGCAAGACGAAAAAACCACAAGACGAAGAGACTCGCGGAACGGATTAATTTCGTCTTGCGAGGCACCACTGTACAGCTTTTGCCACTCTTTTGTTGACTACGAGGGCCACTCCATTTCTTTTAAAGGATTCTTGCCCACAGTAGTAGTTATGGTGGTCATCTGAACTGAATTTGCCCATCCCTGTCCATTTTAGTTCACTGATGCCCAGGATGTCAATATTTATTCTTGCCATCTCATTTTCACCACATCCAACTTACCTTTCGGCTTTGGCCCAGCCGTTTCATCAGCTCTGAATCTACTTGTCCTTGTCCTCCTCTCTTCCTCAGTACCATGTTGGACGCCTTCTGACCTGAGGGGCTCATCTTCCAGCGTCATCACTTTTATATGCCTGTTGCCTTTGTCCATGGAGTTTTCTTGGCAGGGATACTGGAGTGGCTTGCCGGTTCCTGCTCCAGGTGGATCACGTTTGGTCTAAACTCTCCACTATATCCTGTCCATCTTGGGTGGCCCTGCACAGCTTAGCTCATAGCGTCTCTGAGTTATTCAAGCCCCTTCGTCACAACAAGGCAGTGAAAGTGGCCCAATTCAATTCCATATTTTTCTTTTCCCCAGTTATTGCTTCCTGAGGTGAAATCTACCGGGGGGTTTAGGTTCTAAGACCACTTTATGTTTTTCCCATACTCTATATATCAATTTTCTTATTATATGATTCAAAATTGATTTCTTTCCATGTTTTAATATAATTGTCTTTAAATAGGTTGGTGTTTTCATTTGTCAGCAAGATTTCAAAATACTTAGTTTTATTTACTGTTTCCAATCCTGATATTTTCTTTAGTTCTTCTTTTTCCTGTGTTGACATATTTTTTGCTAGCATACTAGTCTTTTTTTAATTTAATTTAAATCCTGCCACTTCCAAATTTAAGGATTTCCCCTCTTATTTCTGGTATGCTTTCCTCCAGATTTTCAGAAGTTAGAATTAAATTGTCTGCAAAGGCCTTCATCTTCTGCGACTTCTTCCCCATTGTTAGACCTTTTATGCCTTGGTCACTCCTTGTTGTCATTGCTAAGAATTCTAGTACCGTAATAAAAAGTAGAGGTGAAAGGGGGCAGCCTTGCCTGGTCCCCTTACTTACTTTACTTCTCTTATTTCACGATTTAGTATCAATTTGGCTCTCTGATTTCAATATATTGCCTCAAAACCACTAATAATATTTTCTCCGAGTCCTGTTTTTTCTGTAGTTTTTTTCATGGAGCTCCAAGAAAGAAGATTCCACCTAAACATTAGGAAGAACTTCCTGACAGTAAGAGCTGTTTGACAGTGGAATTTGCTGCCAAGGAGTGTGGTGGAGTCTCCTTCTTTGGAGGTCTTTAAACAGAGGCTTGACAACCATATGTCAGAGTGCTCTGATGGTGTTTCCTGCTTGGCAGGGGTTGGACTCGATGGCCCTTGTGGTCTCTTCCAACTCTATGATTCTATGATTCTAGA